AGCCTGTGGGACTGCGCTGGGCCTCGGCTGCGGGACTGGGAGACCATCAGCGCTTTGCTGCTGGAGGAGTCACCTGCTGAGGGTATGGTGCTACTGGGAGACACCAGAACGTGCTGGGGTATCATGGAGGAGGCACTGAGATGGCACTGGGAGATCCTGTGAGAAACTGGGAAGCACTGGGATGACGCTTTGAAACACAGGGAGGCATGGGGATGCCACTGGGAGGCACTGGGAGATGCTGGGGGACATTCCTGGGGCATGTTGGGATGTTATTGAGAGATACTGGGATGTCAATGGGAAGCATTAGGACAGCCATGGAACACTCTCAGATGTCCCTGTGTAGACTATGTCATCGCCACCGCACTGGTGGGCAGTCGAGACTCGTACTGGGATGCATTGGGATGCCCCAGGCCCCCATAATGAAGGAGATGGGGAGGTGCTGGTTGCATTCCAACCTTCATTCCAGTCCTCCTCCCCATTCCCCAGGTCTGGGAGACCAGCAGGAGAAGGCACTGGTGGAGATCCTGGCAGCCAGCGTGGTCCAGGCAGCTGAGGGGCAACCACCTGTGGGCCGTGAGCCAGCCAAGAAGGTAACGGGGCAAAAATGGGGGGGGGGGGGTTAGGAGGACCCCCCTTGACCCCCTCTTTTTGTCTCCAGCCTTCATCCCGAGAGCGGAAGGTGCAGATGGAGGAAAGAATCCGCCTCACCCACTGCCTTATCCCGGCTCTTCCCAAGCTGCTGGGCAAGGTGACGGGAATGGAGGACACCCCACTGGCATCCCCAGGGCTTTGGGGGAGTCGGTGGTGACCCCCCCGTTGTCCTCCTCATCCTCTCACTCTCATGTCCCCCCCAACCAAGTTTTCGGCCGATGCTGAGAAGGCGGCTCCGCTCCTGGAGGTGTTGTGCTGCTTCGACCTCAGCATCTACTGCACCGGGCGGCTGGAGAAGGTGTCCCCTGCTGTCACCCCTCTTTGTGTCACCCCCCCTGGTAGCATCCGGTCCCCCCAGGATTGGGGCTGAGCCGCTTTGCCCCTCAAAACTGTTGGGACAGGGATGGGATGCAGCGTGTTCCCCAAATGTCCCCTTTGGTGGTCAGGTGCCTCCCATCAGCATGCTGTCCCCATCACCCCCGAGTGTCCATGGCTGTCCCCATCCTCACAAGGGGGGGGGTCCCTGGCTGTCTTTGTCCCTGTGTGGAGGTGACGTGTCTGTCCTGCAGCACCTGGAGCTGGTGCTGGAGCAGCTGGAGGAGGTGGTGCAGAAACACACGGAGCAGACGGTGCTGGAAGCTGCATCCCGCGCGCTCCACGCGCTCTGTGACCCTGAGCTGGCCCTGCAGCGGCATGGGGACCGGGTACGGAGCCGCCTGGCTGACCAGCTGGCAGACAAGTTCAACCAGGAGGTCACCGAGATGCTCCAGGTAGAGGGAACAGGGATGTGGAGTCAGGACAGGGCTGAGGATAGGGACACAGAGCTGAGGACAGGAACTTGGAGTCAGAACAGGGCTGGGGACAGGGTCATGGAGCTGCGGAGAAGGCTGAGGAGCTGCACATGGAGCAGGGATGGGGCTAGGGACAGGGACAAGAAGCCAGGATAGGGCTGGGGACAGGTACACAGAGCTGGGCTGGGAACAAGAGAGGAACAAGGACCTGTAGGGATATTGGTGGCCTGGGTAGGGATGATTGGTAGGGAAAAGCTGGTCTAGGAAGGACTGGATGAGGGAAACAGCAAGGGGCAGTGGGGAGTGGGGTGTCCCCAGCTGGTTGTGGGTCCCCAACCCTTCATGGGGTTGTTCCCAACCCCTGGCCCTGCCCAGGCCTCATCCCTGGATGAGGAAGAAGTGTACAGCATGGCAGCCACACTGAAGAGGATCTCCATCTTGTTCAAGTGAGTGGGAGGCCACACGCCATTCCTGTTTGTGTCCCCAAGGGTCCCCTGGGGGCCCTCATTCCCTTCTGCTCCCCATGTCCCCATCCCCTGGCATCCATGTCCCCATGTCCCCTGTCCCATCTGCTCCCTGTGTTGCTGTCATTCCGTTCCCGTGTCTCCATGTCCTATGCCCCATGCTCCACATGTCCCCCATGTCCTATGCCCCATGCTCCACATGTCCCTATCCCTGTCCCCCATGCCCCCTCACCCTGCTGATGCTGCTCTGTCCCCGCAGTGCCCATGACCTGACGCCCTGGCAGCTCTTTGATCCCTGCACCCAGCTCCTGCAGCGTGCTGTGGACACGGGCGAGGTGCCACCGCAGGTACCACCCTGGGGACACAGCATTGGGGACACACTGGGGACACAATGAGGCACATCCCTCACCCACATCCATCCCTGCAGGTCCTTGTCCCCACCATCACCTGCTTCTATTTCCACATCCTCTGGGAGCTCTCTTGCTTGCCCAGCACTGATGTCCCTGAGGTGAGTGGCCACCAGGACAATGTGCGGTTTCCCCTGTGTCCCTAAATGCCACTGTGTCCCCAAACATCACCATGTCCCCCTGCCCAGGAGCAGCTACAGAGCCTGAAGACCAAGGTCATCACCTTCTACTCATTGTGCCACAGCTGCCTGTCCGATGTGGACGCTGGTGTCCGGGAACAGGTACGCAGGGACCTGGAGGGATGGGAAGAGATGGAACCAGCCCTGAGGCCAAGCCCATCCTTGTGTTCTCAGGCCTTCAGAGTGCTCAGCGACCTGCTGCTGGTGCTGGGGCCACGGTTGCCAGAGGACGGGCGAGAGGAGCTGGCTCCGCTGGTGCTGCGTCCCGACGCAGAGCTGCAGTCCCAGCTGGCCGCCTTCCTCATGGACCACGTCTTCTACCCTGCTTGTAGCCATGAGGAGCTCTTGGCCACCGGCAAATCACTGGGTCAGTGTCACTCCAGGGTGCTTGTCCCTCCCTTAATTGTGCCCCCCCTTAATTGTCCCCTCCTGTCCCCATAGAGGACAGTGAGAGCCACATCGAGGAGCTGCACCGACGCCGCGTGCTTCTGGCTGGCTTCTGCAAACTCATCATCTACGGCGTCTTGGAGCTCAGCGCCGCTTCCGACGTCTTCAAGCACTACACCAAGGTAACCGGGCGCAGCAGAGCGGGTCCCCGCTGTCCCCCTGTCCCCACAACACCTCGGGCACACTGGGTCCTGTCCCTCCCTCCCCAGTTTTACAGTGATTATGGGGACATCATCAAAGAAACGCTCAACTTGACCCGGCAGATCGACCGGCAGGAGTGGGCTCGCACCCTGCTCCTCAGCCTGCAGCAGGTTGGGGTGGTGCTGGGGGGGCCTGGGGTCTCCAGGGGGCTCTGGAGGGCTGCTCTAGGGAGGTTTGGGGGGCTCCAGGTTGTGTGGATGGGGTTTGAGGGAGAGGTCTGAGAGTCTGGGGGTACTCCAGGGGGTTGGGTCTGGGGTCTCCAGGTGGGTCCAATGGGGGCTTTGGGGTGCTCTAGGGAGATTTGGGGGGCTCTAGGCGATGTGGATGGGGTTTGAGGGGGTGTCTTTGAGGAGGTCCAGGGATCTGGGAGCCTCTGGGGTTCCTCCAGGGGGGGTTGAGGGGATGTCCAAAGGTTCCCCCCTAACCTTGTGCCCCCCACCATAGCTGATGACAGAGCTGCTGCACCAAGAAGGTCCCGACATCCGGATGACGGAAGCTTTCCCAGAAATCCGGGACTTGGCGCGAAGGTTTTCCCTCTTCTTCAGCCTCCACCAGCTCCGAAGCCGCCCGCTGCTGCTCAACATCCACAGGTACAACGGGATGAAAATGCAGGGGGGATTTTTGGGGGTGTCAGCCCCTCCTTACGCCTTTATCCCTGCCAGGGAAGGGATTCTGTTTGCTTTCCAGAGGACCCCAGGCTCAGAACCGGGGTTGCCACCACTCAATTTACCCTTCCTGGAGGTGCTGAGCGAGTTTTCACCCTGTGTGCTGCGCCCGGATAAAGCTTTGCTGTGAGTTATTTGGGGGGGGCACCCTAGGGTAGGGTCTGGGAGGGTCCTTTCAGGTCTATTTAGGTCCCATTGGGGTCCTCAAGGTCAACATGGGGACCCTCGGGGGATGTGGGTGTCTCTGTGCCCCCCAGTACCCCACTGACCCCCCCCCCCCCATACCTTTGTTGTCCCTCCCCAGCTTAACCTACCTGGACAAGGTGTCCCGGGAGCAGCTCGGGGTGCTGGCACCGGGTGACACGGGGCAGTGGCAGCCCCTTGTCACCTACCGCAACTCGCTACAGCCACAGGATGAGGGGGGGACCTGGGAGAGCAGCCGTGGTGCAGCGCCCACCCCACACCCCACCAAGAGACCCCGCCTGGAGGGTGAGGATTGGGGTGCAGGGAGGGGGGGCTTATCACCCCCAGCACCCCTCTGGGCTCGGTGGGGTTGGGGGGGTCCTCGTGCTCAACATCCCCCCCGCAGCCCCACCGCAGGCCCCCGACTCCAGCCCATTGCCGAGCACCCACCCCTCCAGCCCGGCCTTGACCTCCACCATGTTACGGGGTGACCCCCGGCCCCCCCGGCCGTTGTTCTCCGGCTCCATCCTCTCCTCACCACGGCAGCAGCTCCATGACCCTGGGGTGCAATCGGGTGATGCCGTGAGTGAGGGGGGGTATGGGTGCAGGAATGGGGCTGCTGGTTGACTCGGGGAAGCAGGGAGGAGAAATTTGGGATATTGGAGGGCACAAGGTGGGCATAGGGCAGGCAGTGGGGCTGTTGGGGGCTCAGGGGGCAGCATGGGGTGGACTGGGTTGCTGGGAGGGGGCATTGGTGGGTGCTGGGAGGCACTGGGTAGGCACTGGGGGGGACCTGGAGGGTGGCAGGGGGGTATTGGGGGTGTTGGGGGTCTTGGAGGGGATGAGGGGGGCATGTCTTCTGGGGGCTCAGAGGGCAGAGCATGGGGTAGGTATTGGAGAGGGGTGGAGCTTTTGGAAAGCATGGGGGGGTACTGGGGTGTTTGGAGGGGAACACTGGGTCTGTCGGGAGAGGCAGGTCTGGAGGGGTCCCTCCACCCCTCTTCTACCCCTGCCACAGCCTGATGGTGGTGGAAGAGGCAGAGCAGGAGGAAGAGCAGAGAGGCGAAGAGGAGGAAGAGGAGGGCAGGGTGAGCTCCTCCTCCCGGGACCCCCTCCAGCCACCCTGGGGTGCCCCACCTCATTTGTGTGTTTCATCCCCCCCCCAGGGCTGCCTCTGGGACGTCTTTGACAGCATGTTGAACATGAAGGTGAGCTTAGAGGGGTGGGCCTGGGTTTGGGGGAGCCTTTTCCCCAACCTCCCAGTTTGGGGGACACCCCCTTCCCTTTCTGCACCCCCCAGCCCCAGGATGGGTGATCAAGGACCCCAACGCATCCCCCTGCGGTGACACGGAGCAGTTTGGAGCCTGTTTATCGCCGTTATGAGACCCAATCTGGGGGGTGGGGGGCACCCAGCTGTTGGGGGTTGCACCCCCACCCCCCCATGGGCCATTTTGTTGGCGGTTAATAAATGGTTGTTTGGCAACTGCTGGTGATGGGGGGGTTCTTTGGGATGGGTGTCAGAATGGGGGTCCCCCGGGTGCAGGGTGGGGGTTGTTGTAGGGGGTGTTAGGAGGAGTCTTGAGGTGTGTCCCTGCTTCAAGGCACGTGGGAGACACGTGAAACCCAGGACACCCGTGGGACATGCATGGGACACCCATGGTTGAGAGTAACACTACCCCAGTCCTGGAGGCAGCAGCCAGCCACATGCACGCAGGACCACCAGCTCTGTGTGTCTAAACCAGGGATCAGGTTTATGTCCAGTGCTTTGGTATTCAGTGAACAGTTTGTGTGTAAACCAAGAAGGTACCTCCCTCACCTCAGTGTGCCCAGGGACCCCCCCTGGAGATACAAGTTGGCTTGGGGGGCCTTGACCCCCCCAACCCAGTGGTGCTGCTGGATCCAGTCCCAGTCTCATACTTGGTCAATGGTTTACGTCTAAAGGAGTGTGCAGCACTGGCACCTTCTTGTCCAAATTTGTCCTGCACTCCAGTACTGTCACAAGGGGGTTTCCTCCCATCCTTTACATTTGACCAACCTGCAGTGTCCCAAGAGAGATGAGACCCTTGCACCCTGCCAGCCCACCAAGTCAGAGGGTGATTCAACAGACCTACTCAGGGACCCGCACTGACAACATCACCAAGTCAAACCCTGAGACAGACACAAAACAGGCTTCAGCTGAAGTCTTTTATTACACAAAATACAAGTTTGCAACAGGATAAGGGTCAGAGATTGCTGGCTTTACCTGCAGGACCACAGAGAGGGCAGCGAGGAAGCCATGCCTATCACCACCACAACAGCGCACTGGTGGCAGTTGTACCAAGACTCCCTGATCCCCATCCATAAGCTATCTGTAGACTGGAGAGCCAAGGAGTGATCAGCAGGACCCACTCACCCTTTAAAAGCCCCATATGGCCCATGCAAAAGTCGACTGGAGGGTGGAGACCAACAGTAGACTGCTGTGGCCACCGCTGGGTACTGCCATAGGGAACATGCTGGAATTTACTCAGTGTTCTTTGCTTCCTGAATCCCCACGGACTGGGAGGTGCAGCCTGCAACGGGGCTGCTTCCCAGGGGAAGGAGCGAGGAGTGTGTGACACTGCAGAGCAGCTGCTTCCCAGGGTCCAGCAGCAGCACTCAGCACACACCTGGCACCTGGGACCAGTTCAACTGCAGCTTTAGGGAATGATTTGCTCCATTTTTCACAGCTCTTCCATGAGATTTTATACCTGTCAAGTGGTAAAAAACATTCTTCTACATTAGTGCAGAATTCTATTGTTTCAACAATTCTCTTTTAATGGTATATGTAATGACACTGTAATTGTTGGTTTAGTACTTTGGTTTAATAGGTCTTCCAAATAAGATACTGTATTTACAGCAATAACTGATCTTAAGGTTTTAGTAGCTGCCTTTCCCTCATCAACCAGGGCTTGCCACCTTATTGCAGATCAGGTTGGTCAAGCAGGACCTGCCCTGAAGGGACAACTGGGCCTGATCCCTCTGTTTTCCCGCATGTGCTTTATGATTTCACTTAGGATCATCTGCTCCATGATGTTCCCCAGCACTGAGGTCAGGCTGATGGGCCTGTAGTTTCTGGATCTTCCTTTCTGCCGGGACATATCACACTGCCCAACCTCCAGTCCCCTGGGACCTGCTCACTAGATCAGGACCACTGATACAGAGTGGCTTAGCGAGCTCCTCTGCCAGCTACTTCAGCACTCTGGGGTGGTACCCATCCAGCCCCATAGACTTGTGTTGTTAAAGGGAAGCAGGAGGCCTCTAACCATTTCCTCCTGGCTTATTGGGACTTCAATCAGCTCCTCATCTCCTGAGTACCCTGAGGATGGCTGGTGTGACTACTGAAGACTGAGGTAAGAGCAGCATGAAGTACCTCAGCCTTTCCCTCATCCTTGGAACGCTCAGGAAAGAATTCCTCTAAAATAGTCCAACTCTGAAACACTGAACAACTCTGCTCTCATTTTCATTCAGACTGGTGCCTTTAAAAAGCAAACCACGACTTTTATATAGCACCTCTTTGTAAGTGTTAGTTACCAAAAAGTAAGTAAAATCCCCGAATTGTTGGTAAAGACTGAATCAGGAACTTGTGTGAGAACAGACAAGCAAATCCCAATACAGTCACCTGTCTCCATAGAACTTCTTTCATCTGCATGGCTTTAAAAGTTACTCCAGGAATAATGCTTTCAGTCATCCACTTCAAGTGCTGCAAACCTATTAACACTGCATAAATGCTGAGGTTCTGGTAGAGCACACCTGATGGCCTTTTTTTCCTTACTAGATGCTTTCTTCTTTTTGCAGGACTCAGATTTGCTCTTGCAAACCTTGATCTTCTGAAAGAAGTCTGGAGGTACAGTTGACTTCACTGTATTTAACAGATCCTGATAAAGCTGAGTCATTTTTGGTGATGAACTAAACAGATTTTCCACTGAAGGTGTGGATTTAAGCTCTTGAAACAGTCTGTGCACAAGGGTCCCAGTGTAAAGCCTGCTCAAAGGAAGGAGAGAATTGTCATTTAGAATAGCGTCTCAGCAGGACAGGTCCAGGAAAATATGCTGCTTAATGAAAACACAGATACCAACTACATCCAGCATCCAGCAGTGCACTCCTAAGGGATACCTATCCTACTCAGTACTTTCCTCCATATCAATATTGTTAAACAAGGGAGTTCAAATGTAGTAAAATTGGCCAGAGGGTTTTGACAGAGAAAATGAAACATGTGAACGTATTCCATCAAGGGCTTGTGTGGAAAGCCAACCTCTGAAACATCCTTACCTACTTAGGTCTGGCTCGGGGAGAGGACTGCCAAGTAGCTGGTTGAGATACAATCCCATCTGAAGACAGCACTGCCACTGGCAAAAACTGTGTCCAGCATCTAAATCAAAGTCTTTATCTTCCAGTTTCTTTGCCTTCCATTTCAGAAATTCATCATATGCAGTAACATCATCTTCAGCACGTAAACCTGTGGCATCTAGGTGGTAAATAAAAAATGACATGCAAATAAATGTTCTGCTGTGAACGGTACAAAAAGTATCTGAAATGTGTAGGGTCTTCAAACCCCCAGGTCTGTTTCAGGAAGCATTAGTACCGTTTTCAACTGTCTCAAACTGAACTGTGAGACGTAAGATTGAGTAAAAATTCAAGCATGAATATCCATGAGAAACTCAAAATTGTGAAATCAGGACTTCTATTTGTTAGGTAATTTGCTGTCAGTGAATTCAGTTCCAAACAAGGTGTCCATCTTACTCCCACCCACTTAGGAAGGAGCCGGCAACCCTGACATTCCAGTTTGTATGAACTGGAACCTAAAGAAGCCGTGTAACTCCGGCATGCCTCATCTTCGCCATCAAATGAAGGACTCCTACAGGAAATGCCACTGTGACTCTAGGAGGTATTAGTGAAACAATTTCTGTCGTACTTTACAACTTCCAAACTCCTGCAATACACAAGCATGTAAAGAGTGTCCGTGCAGCTCCATCTGTAAGCACACATGACAACAGGAAAACTCATGAGGAAAACCACAAATCTATCAGACTGCATCAACAACAGGTATTCTCTTTTGATGCAGAAGTCTGTTAAGCACTTTTATATCTAAATCTTTTATATCTAAATCTTTCAGTCCTAAAGAAAGCATTGGTAAATGCAAATCTATGCTTTACAAGATGGCAAAGTCCTGTTTTACCTCTATGAAATGTTAAATCAATAGCTAGCACTTTTTTCTGCTCCGTCAATGCAAGGAATGTGACACCTCAGGATGTAGTGCAAATCTGTGCCAATTCATCTGAATTTAGATGATTTGCTATAAATGAGGAAAATTGAATTCTGGGATAGACTTTCATTAACACCTGAACTGTATTCTTTGGACACATACCTGGATCACTTGTTATCCTGTGCAGCTCTCCAGACACTATCATTAGAAGTAAAGCCTTTAGCTGATGCAACGTAACTTTTGGTTCTGAGCAACATATCCAGTAACACGTTACAGCAACAGGAAGTTGTAAGTGACTGGGGATAGGTTCCAGGAAACTCATTTTCACTCCCAGAGTCTCCAGCAAAAGCATCTGACGGCAGGACATGGGCACCTGAAAATGAATTGGAGTGGAAAAACAAAGGTAAGAGACTATCTGCTGTGAGCAATTTCCAAAAGCTTGTTTGAAACCAGGCAGTAGTTCATGGTTTTGATAAAAAACACTTAAGTTTCACAGATCCCCTTTTTAAGTGCTATTTAAGCCTTAGAAACGACACAGTTAAATGTTGGGTGAAGGAGATAAGCATTTTATTTCACACGTGCCCAGAGGTTTCAGTCTTTCTTCGCATCAGGTGATTTAATTCAACCTCCTATGTAAAAGCTGCCTCACTTGGAAAACCTTGTAACCACAAAGCATTCAAACTCCTTTGGTATGGCAAATAAATACACATATATAAAACTTCATGTTGTGCCTCTTAGAAGTTGCCTTACATCGCATGCTTTGTGAGAGGTGACGTTCCCAAAAGGAATGTCTAGAATACAACATACACAGCACTACACACAAGCAACTTCTCGTATCATTTGTCTTGGTACATGTGTGCGGGGAGATAACCTGTGTAGCCTTTCAAGGCCAAGCTGAAAGCCCTGTAGGTCCCTCTGTATTGAGTTACTGAGGTGGCTTCCTTCAGGCATCACAGTTAGCAACCCGCTGGCAAACTCGAGTCCCAGCTGTGTTTTGTGACTGGTGGAACACCGCTAACCCTGATCTGTTGTGACAGCCACTTACCTCCACTAACTTCTCCAAAGAAAAACTATCATCACAAAACTCTGTGGGTAGGCTTGCTGCTTGAACAAAGCTTTTCCTAAGTGTCTTTTGGAGCCTGCTGAATTCACAGAAAACCGGCAGCTCGTTGCTTCCAGAAGCAGCTTCAGCCTTTTGAGATGCTTTCAGAAGCAGTCCATAGATCACTTGTCGAATGGGCAAAGCTGCGCTGTGTGCGCTAGGTCTCTGCATGTTCTCCACCTGAACACGGAGGAAAGTGCTTCTCAGCACCAGGGCATTGATGATGAACGGGGCCAGCTTACCTTTTGCCAAAGCATCGAGCACCCACTGTGGCAAGCCCGCTTCCCTGCCGGCCTCGCATTCGTACGTGCTGCTCCGAAAGAAGTCCTCCAGCTTCACGTCGGACGGGGTATAGTCCTGCATCGAGGCGCACAGCAGCTCCCGTACTTCCTCCCTCTGGTGCTTCTTCACGTACCTCAGCACTCCGTCCACAGCCTCGGCCGGCTCGCTGAACTGCGCCAGCCAACACAGCAGCCCCCGCAGGCGGGCGTGCTTCCGGCCGCCCCTCCGCGACCTCACCGCGCTGAGGAACGCCTCGAGGGCCGCCAGCTCGATGTAGTCGTTCCCGCACATGACGGCGAACAGCGGGAGCAGGCTCCTCCTCAGCGCGCCGAAGTGCCCGCAGAACCTCTCCACCGAGAAGCAGCGAGCGGGGACGTAGCGGCCCCGCGTCCCGTCGCCCCCGCCGCACACGCTCCGCCACTGGAAGTGCGTGAGGGGGCAGTAGCCGCCCGCCAGCTCGAAGACGCAGAAGTCGCTGTCGAGGGAGAGGACGGGGCAGCCCCAGCGGTTGGCCAGGCCCGCAATCTCCCGGTCGGCCTCGGCGAAGCACTGCACGAAGGGCACGCCGAGCCGGCGCAGCGCCTGCAGGAAGGCCTCGCGGGTCAGCAGCGGCACCACGCACCCGCCCTCGCCGCGGGAGAGCCCGTGGGCCGCCCGCAGCCGCTCGGAGGCGCGCTCCTGCAGCGCCGGTAGCTTGCGGTCGTCGGTGCCGCGGCCGCCGTCCAGCACCACGAAGGGGGAGACGCGGCAGGCCCGCAGGCTGCCGAAGAAGTCGCGCACGGTCGCCGCGAAGAGGCCGTATTCGCCGCCGCGGCGGGGGTCGGCGGAGGAGGCGAAGCAGAGCTGGTGGTAGAGGCTGCTCCCGTCGATGACCAGCTTGGTGTCCCGCACCCGCAGCTCGGAGCAGAACCCCCCGCGCTCCTCCACGAACCCCGCCAGGCCCCGCACGCCCATGGCAGCCCCGTCACGGCGCCGGGCGTGCTGCTGGGAGCGACAGGCGGAGCCCGTCCGTCAGAGCTCCTCCTCCTGCTGCTGCCCGTTGGCGGTCTCTGTGCGAGAGCCGCTTCTCCTAGCGACGGGGCCGCCCGGGATCAGCGGCTGCGGCCGCTCCCTCCTGTGCCCCGGGCTGGCAGCGCCCACGGGAGCCGGAGGACCCCGCGGAACAGCAGCCCCCGGCGGCAGGCGGCCCTGGCGCTGAGGGGCAGGAACCGGTGTGGAGAGCGCGTACCTGCGGGCGAGTGCAGACGGGGCGGGGGAGCGCCCCCTTCCCCGGAGGGGTGGCGAGGGAGGCAGGATCGGGGCATGCCGCCCTCGGCCCTCTGTGCGGGGGAGCGGGGACGCCTCGTACCTCTGTATGTGAGCGTGTGTGTGCGCCCCAAGGAGCGTGAGCCTTACCCGGTCTATGGACGAGGTAATAACGTCTCCGGGCTTGCCCTCGGGGGTCTCGCTTCCTGAACGTGCGTCAGGGAGGTATTGATTAGCCCCTTCCGTCACATTTGACCTTGTTTTACCATCACCTGCAAGCTCCTTTGCTACCCACACGACCAATAAAATCTTCATAGTTATCCTTCCTCTAGGAGCAGTAAAACGAGGAGCCAACCAAAATGATGTTGCTTTAGGCTTGGCTGAGTTTCTAAAGGTGTTGCAATGGACCCAGTGTTCAGGAGGTAATGGTTGGGGCTTTGTGAACAAAGTTTAAAACCAGGAATGCCTCATCTTTTCATTTCCAGAACGTTTAAAGAAGCAATGAAGCCATTGGCAGGGACAAAACCAAGGTAGTAAATACTGAGGGCATTTTACATATAAACCCTCTGATAAATATTAAGTATTTAATATTAGATATTAATAAACAGGAAACCTCTGGAATTTGTACTGCCAGGGGCAGCAGATGCTGATGTAGCACAGAGGTTCTTCAGGAGGTAAAAGAAAACGGGATTGAACTGGCAAATGTCCTTGCCTGGCAAGGAAGGGTTTTATCTTGGAAGCAGAAGTTGCCAAAGCGTGTTAGCCGTTGCTAAAGAAACCTAGAGGAAATTAAACCCAGGATCTTACTTACATAAGCAAAGGAAGGTTGGGGGAAGAAGCGGAGGGGCTGTGTGCTTAGCGTGTGTAGGTGGAGCTATGAAACCCTGAACAACAGCTTTGCCTTAGCTGAGAGCAACCAAACAAGTGAAAAAAGGAGACTTCAGCCAAGGAAGAAGGAAAAAGAAGCTATGTGATTGCAGTAGTTTGGTGTCAGCAGCTGCCAGGCTCTGGAATGGGGCTTGGAGGGAAAACGAGGAACATCAACTGTTTACCAGTGTGTTACTGGATAGGATATACTGTGATTTTAAAAGACAAGAGGGCTGGAGGGTTGATTCCTTTGAGTTATCTCTACTTGTTATGATGTACTGCTGCTTGGGAAATACCTACTCAGTGGGATAAGATGGACACTGGTAAGAAGATACATGGAAGGTTGGGGCTAAAAGTTGGAGTGAGGTAGGGGAGGCTGCCAGTTCATATATTCTAAGAGAATCAGCTGGTGTTATGCTTGAGGCGGGCTCTAATGCTTGTTGATTCTTACAGGGTATTTCTTTCAAATGCAGTGTCTCAGCAATCCATCTCTTCTGTGCCTGCAACACCACTGGCCCTTGCCATGTAACACTATTCAATAGATAGCAAAGCATTTCACAAAGTTCTATGATGGTTATTATTAATTGTTATGTACAGAGGGAAATTGAAGCATTGAGAGTAGCAGGTGAGAGGTAAAGCACAACCATTAGGCTTAATGGGGTTCTTGTGATCTCAAGTGTGATATTGTGGTGTAAAGGATTGTGATGTATTTGTAAGTAAGTATGAAAATGTGAAGATGAGCGGTGTTAAGTGACTCTTCTCTAGAAAAAAGGGACAGAGTGCTCAGCAGTGTTGGTAAGCAGAGTCATTTCTAAAGGTTATGTGTTTCAAAGCTATTCTGTTTGGAATTTACGGAGCCATCCATAAACCAGCAACTTCCTGGCAGATGAGAATAGTAAATGGGAAATACACAAGCTTTCCAGAGCTGGCAGTGTACTATTTTATGGAGCTCATCTTCCTGCCTTCCCCACACCTCAACACCAGCCATATATGCTCCTTCAGACAGATTTGGTGTTACACAAGAAGTAATTTTCTAGCCCACGTTTGCATTTGAAACTTTTTGTCACTGTGTCCTGGGTTCAGCAGTATCAGTCATTTTTCTCCTTCTCAGTAGCTGGTGCAGTGCTGTGGTTTTGACTTTCAGCCTGGGAGCAGCGCTGATAACACCGATGCTTTTAGTTGCTGCTCAGTAATGTTTGCTCTGACCAAGGAGTTTCTGAGCCTCATGCTCTGCCAGGGAGGAGGGGAAGCCGGGAGGAAGCAGAGACAGGAGACATGACCCAAACTGACCAAAGGGGTATTCCATACCACAGCACATCATGCCCAGTATAGAAACTGGGGGCAGTTACCTGGAAGGACTGGGTCACTCCTCGGTCGGGCTGGGTATCAGTCAGCGGGTGGTGAGCAGTTGTATTCTCTCCCCTTGTTATTTCCCTTATAATTATTATTATTGGTGGCAGCAGCAGTGGTTTGTGTTATACCTTAGTTACTGGACTGTTCTTATCTCAACCCATGGGAGTCACATTCTTTCCATTCTCCTCCCCACTGTCAGGTGAAACACAGGTGTAGTTCTCTCTGCAAACAGCACTTGAAACTTTTAAATAAGCTAATGTATAAGCACCTGCATTTAATTCCTCCTGTGTTATCAGTTCAGCGAATTCATTTAAGGCTGGTTGAGAGGACGGCTGGCAACGTCACATCTACATTATCTAGAGTTTCTCTATCAAGTCTGCTGCCCACAGCTTAGCAACTAATGACTCCATTCGTAAGCACTACCGTAGAATTAAATGAAGACTTTAATAAAAATAGATACATTGACAGGTTTTTTTACTGTTTCAGGTGTTTCCTGTGAGCATCCATGGAAGAGTAAAAGGGTTGGAAAGCTGTGTTCTAGAGAAATTCGTGTGGTTTCTGTTACGCAGAGAAATGCTGAAATTTCAAGAAACTGCTAAGCATGTCAGCGTTGCCAGATTGAATTCTGCTCGCTCAGGCGCTGTGATTGCTAGAAGATACACTATTCAGAGGAAACTTGGCAATGGAAGCTTTGGAAGCGTGTATCTGGTTTCTGACAGAAGAGCAAAACAAGGAGAAGAATTGTAAGTAAACCCTTCATATGCTTCAAGTAAAAATGGTTGGAACGTCTTTCTTGCATTGTGGATGTTCTCTTTGTGTCTCATCTCTTTGTGTCTCATCTCTCGGTTTGGCGTTACATTGCAGCCTTAAGTTTTAAGCTGTAGGGAGGACATAAGATAGGTGCAGGCTTTATGCAGACTCAGCATTTCAGCTGAGCCCATTGCTTAAAATGGTTTATCTGACATGTCTATCTTACTGTGCTTTTCTCAGTCCTGTTTAATTCACCTGTGCAAGGCAGAGTGGAGGTAGGAAAATCTCAGACCCTCGTCCCCGTCGCAATATACACCTTTGAAGCTTTGTAACACATTTCAAAACCAGTCAAAATACATAGAGCTTACCTATACCCCAATGTCACACCATGGACAAGTTGCTAATGCAGGACGTACTCTGTAGAAAAGACCCTTGTATTTACTCAGAACAGTGGTAAATTTTATCATTGCCCTGACAAGAAGCAGGGCAAAGGTATACGAGAGGCTTCACAGATTTGCTGCTTGTCTTCGTAACAAAATCGTCTGTTAAAGGCTTAAAGCTTTATACTTTGTGATTTCTCATTCTTAGAACTCAAAATACTAACAGTACAGTGAAATGTAGGTCTTGACGTATCTGCTGCTATAGCACAAGCTGTCAGGCCTCAAAACCAAGGAATGTGGGCTTTGCCTTTAAGTAGTTACTATCTCTGTGAGTATCCGATGGCATGTTCTTTTTTGGTTTATCGGTCTCTTTTTGTTACCGCAACAAAATTTAACAAGCCACGGTGCTAGTGCGATGCTGCACTTCATCCCACCCATCACTAGGTGGTACTTGCGTATCGCAGTTACTTGCTCCTCATCTCAAATGCAGACGGATGAGCGCATTCCCACAACTTCGTATCACTGCTAAGAGGTGACAAAAATACTGGCCCAGGTGAGCATGGAAGCTCACGTACCATAACTAGATAGAGAGTAGACACTTTCTTCCATTTAAAAACACTTGTTTCTTACGGTGGTAAAATATGCTAGAAATCACATTCTCAACACTACTTTGAACTCAGAAAATAAGCTCTTATGAAAGTGTACTGGTTACTGCTTCTGTTCCATTTTTAGTTGGGAAGTACATATATATGTTGAATGAAAGAATAGGTGGTTATGTTTTTTACTCACCTGAAACCACTTTGGCAAAAATAAAAAGGAATTGAGATATTTGCTATTAAATGACCTCCGCAGAAGTAGAAGCCTGTTTATATTGTTTCAGAATGATCTACAGCATCCTGAGAGAAACATAGTCTGAACTCAGCCACAGAGAGCTTCCTGAAAATTGCTATAAAGTGCTGTGAAAGTGCATAGCAATAAGTTATAAGAATACAAATGCCCAGGAAGAGTGACATCTCAGATATTGGTACAGGAGCTGCTTGGGGCTATCTCTTTCGATTTTCCATGAGTGCAATGTCTACTGAATGAGTTAAGGCAGACTGACAGTGGTTATCATGTCATTTCACATATGCTCAGCAGAGCTTTTGCCTTATTTTAGAAAGAGTTTTGGGGTGTGTTTTGTACTTTGTTAGCCTTCAAGGATCTTGGCTGTCATGAGCAAAGTGTTATACACAGAGTTGCTTCAGCTGGGGGAGACAGAGATGATTATTTGGGCCATGTTGAAGGGGGTTCAGAGCAACCTGCTCTAATGGAAGGTGTCCCTGCCTGTGGCAGGGTGTTGGAACTGGAGGACCTTTAAGGTCCCTTCCACCCCAAACCATTCTGGGATTCTGTGAATCAAAGAATAGAAGTTCCTGCAATTTATGTGAAAACAGCAGAGTAGAGAACAAAACGGATGCTCTCATGGCCAGAAACTGGAAGACTCTTCACTATGAAAGGAGTTTCTCATGTACTAGACAGTCCACACAAGAAAAAGATCATCAATTTCCTCCTGTTTTGGAAGAAACTATGGTCAGAATTTATATCATCTAAGTTAATATAAGAGTTAAACACAAGAGATGTATGAAAGCAAGCTTCTTAATTCCTGTTTACACAGGATGGCTTGGTTTGTGTGTTATGTAGTACTTTCCCTGTTAGATGCTTGCAGATCTTGTTCTGAGCCAGGTACTGTGCAGTCACTAAACCCAACATTGAACTGCTTAACGTTGACGCTCTCTTTCTATCCTAGTGTGCTCTGGTGAATCTTTATCTCACATTGCAAGGTGATTTAGCTGATACGTCACTTCAGTCCAAATAAGTGTTGGATGCTCCTGCAAATATTTGCTGTGGTTTTTAATCATTTTCACATTAGTCTTTTGGACTGAGTTTAGGCCTGGCAGATGGGGATGAACATCACTAGGTGCCCACTAGTGGAGTTTCACATATTTTTAGAGGCTCTGGGTTTGGCTATTTTAAGAAGAAAAAAATGGTAGCTTTATTCTGGGTAAAAACCTATTTCTGATGTGGTTTTGTTCATTTTCCTCTTTTTCTTCTGTAACATTGCACCTAAGTGTCATTTTTTTTCTTCTTTACATTTGTATAATTTAATGCTACTAGCAAACGTTAAACAATGCTACTCAGTCACTTGTCTAGACCCATGAATACCCACTATTGAACACTGTCCATTCTGAATGGCTCTTTGCATGCAGTTAGCACCTTTAATGTTCTGGGACCTGAAAGCACTTTTCAGGGCTGTGAAGTGGTTTTACCCAGTTATTTATCCAGTTTACCAAATGGGCATTAAACAGGGAGATTAAACAGTTTGCCTGGATTCATGTAGCAAGGCTGTGCAGAATAACTGGGTCACTACTTGAGAAACTGTTCCTTGGTATCTTCATGTTGCTAAGTGTTAGCAGAACGTTTAGTTATACTGTGGGTGCTCAATACTCTGCTAGAGCCTAATATCATGGGGGCCAGTTCTGTAGTTTGGAAGCAAGGAGTACTGTGCGTGGCAAAATGGGTGCCTAGTTTCCTGTAGACTTGCATCCTCGGTTCTCCTAAGCCCTACTTTTTCACTGCATGTTATGACAACATTCCTTTTTCTGGAGTGCCCCCTCTTTTCTACAGGTTCTCCCTTCCCTATTGTATCCCTCCAGTATTTGTTTTTTCCCTCTGCATTCCTTCATTAGCGGTTGCAAGAAAAGCAGGTGAGGCCATGGCGGTCCCTGAGCATGTGCACAGGTGAGGTGATTGATGTTTACTGCCTACCTTCTGTTCTGTGCTAACATATAGTATGTAAGTGCCTTGGAGATTATTAGATCTTATTTGATAGGAAATTCAAGTCACACCCATGTGTGAATACACCGCCTGTTTTGATGGCAAAGTACCATCAGCTCAGTACTGGCTTATAAAACTGCCACCTCCAGTATCTCACTCTTGTGAGACCCCACTTGCAGCACTGTGTGCAGCTCTGGTGTCCTCAACATAAGAAGGACACAGAGGTGTTGGAGCAAGTCCAGAGGAGGCCACGAGGATCATCAGGGGCTGGAGCACCTCCTGTATGGAGACAGACTGAGAACACTGGGGCTGTTCAGCCTGGAGAAGAGAAGCTGTGTGGAGACCTCAGAGCAGCTTCCAGTGTCTGAAGGGGGCTACAGGGATGCTGGAGAGGGACTCTTCATCAGGGACTGTAGCGATAGGACAAGGGGTGATGGGTTCAAACTGAAACAGGGGAAGTTCAGGTTAGATCTAAGGCAGAGGTTCTTCCCTGTGAGGGTGCTGAGGCGCTGGCACAGGGTGCCCAGAGAAGTGGTAAATGCTCCATGCCTGACTGTGTTCCAGGCCAGGTTGGACACAGGGGCTTGGAGCAACCTGGTCTGGTGGAAGGTGTCCCTGCCCATGGCAAGGGGTCGGAACTGGATGAGCTTGAGGTCCTTTCCAACCCAAACCATTCCATTATTCTATGATCTGCTCAAGTGCATTCTCTAATGACAAAGACAAAGAAAGCTTTTCAATACTGTGTCTAGGGCATAGTTTAGATGAATTTTTGTAAATAAAGTGTCTATAGCTTTTAGTTTACCGGTACATTGAGAGAAAATCAACAAAACACCTTCAGAATGCAGGATGTCTGCTGGTGTTTAGTGGTTTGGGTTTTTTTTCCGTGGGGTTTCTTGTGTGTCTTGGTTGGTTGTGTGGTTTTTCTTTTCCAGATTCTTGACTTGCATATGCATTTGCAAAAATCTATCTTAGTTTTTGAGGAGCTTTCTTTTGTTCCTGGACATCATGGACCTAAAGCTACCTGAAATAATCAGATAACTTGGTTTGTATAAAGGAAGTAACAGGATTGTACCAGCATTTTTACAGCAAACAGTAATATCCCTACAGTCACTTCTGTCCTAGTCTCCCAGAGTAAATTATCAGCTAATTAGAACAGGTAATTGTGGTTAAAGTCCAAGTGTTATATGGCAGCGATTTATGTTTAGCAGTAGTCTTCAAGGACAGTTCTATCGCTTATAGACAATGAATGTCCTAATCAATTGTGCCAAGTGAAGCTCTGGTTTAAGTTTCACTAACTCATAGCGGCTGGAGTACGCAGTAGGCAATAGGGACTTCTAGTTCATAAATATTCACAAGGTGCTTTATGTCCCTGTGGTGGAAAGCACACGCTGGGAAGTGCCTGGCTCCCTGGACTGCTCCCCTGTGTGGTGACTGTGGGGTGTCAGCTCAGCTTCGGCATCCGACTTGCGTTGTGCCATTAATCCAGACTCACGCTATGATTCCTTGGAAACTGTGCGCTTCGCTAAATAATTTATCATGTGGCTTTCAATTATTAATGATTTCTTATAACAAATGAAATAGAATCTAAGGATGGAAGAGTTCTGTGACTTGTGAATAATCCAAGCAACAAACAGCGGGTTGCTGCGTCATCAAATCCCTGTGTTTGCTGTCTGTTTGCTTTGCTGAAGGTACTCCAGGAGAATGGTTACTTGGTACTGGATTGATTAAAGCAGTTGTTGTGTGCATGTTCATCTAATTGTGTTGCTTTCCTTTTCCCTTCTCCCTCATTTAATAAGAAA